CGACGGATAGGGATCTAAGAGCATCTTGAATAGTCTCCTAAAAAAGCTCTCTTTATACATGCATTTTAGGACACGAGTTAGCTACAAACGTGTTTCGGGTTCTAGCAACCTAAAACTTTGTTTGGCTAATCTAACTAACCTATGGATAAGCAAAATTTGGTTCTCGTAACATCCAAAGTCTGCGTTTATAGAAAAACGGGATACGAGGACGTTTTTTCTGCAAACAAGTTTTAGAAAAATTGATCGACGATGCTATGTGTGTACAACTGCCATGCGTGACACGCAACTTCATGAAAAAGAGCATCTTCCACCATGAGATCTACGTCGGGAACCTAACCCTTGGCAATGATAAACAATGGCGGCACACGACGGTGCCGGGTGGAGCGGCGACTACATCGTCTATCGGCGATCTCATGGTGCTCTTGACCATGCGGCGCTGCCCGCTTCCCTCAAGTTCCTGGAGCACGTCATCCCACTTACGCAGTGAGGTTGACTGCCATGGGCATCCCAGTGTGCGGCGTAGAGGAGCATTCTAATGAGCTCTGTGCTACGCCGCCGCTAGGGCATGGATGCTCCTGTACGTCCAGCGTTGAGGGGCGGAAGACCTGGCACACGTTGCACGTGTTCGCGTCCAGGATCATGCTTATTGGCAGCCGGAGCTATTGGGGACGGTTCTGGGAGGGCGTGTTGACGCCATCAGCGATGCGCGCCACTTGGTGTAGTACGTCGCCGGCTAGTCCATGTATACCAAGATAACGCCGAACGGTTGAACTTTGTTAAATTTCAATCTTTCTTAACTTTTTTGCGGAATCGTTCGGTTTAGTTGAACTTTGTTAAATTTCATCCTTTCTTAAACATATCAAAATTTAACTAATATCATCCAGTTTGCATGAATTTTGTTCGTTTCTGTGAAAGATCCGTTTGAAATGAGGCGGGCGTTTGACGCACCTGATTGCATGTCCGTTCCATATCCGCGAACACATCAGGAAACGTCGCTGGACGTTTGGTGTGGCCGATGCATGCTGTTGGCATTTACATACAACGACAAAACAGGAACAACAGAGTATCTTCATCTTGCGTGCTGGCATTTACATACAACGACAAGACCATGAGCGAGGTCGAAAGAGTCATGGACAACAAATATATATACAGGAGAAACACACAGTCACGCTCACAGAGAGAGCGAGATGGCAACGGCAATGGCATTGGATGACGTCACCCACCGGACGCTGGAAGTGAACGGCATCAAGATCCACGTCGCCGAGATCGGCGACGGCGCGGCCGGCACCGTCCTCCTCCTGCACGGCTTCCTGGAGCTTTGGTGCTCGTGGCACCACCAGCTGCGATCCCTCTCCGAGCGCGGCTACCGCTGCCTGGCCCCCGACCTCCGCGGCTATGGCGACTCCGCCGCCCCGGCCTCCCCGTCGTCCTACACCGCTCTCCACATCGTGGGCGACCTGGTCGGACTCCTCGACGCCCTGTCCCTGCCGCAGGTGTTCGTGGTGGGGCAAGGCTGGGGCGCCCTGCTGGCGTGGCACCTCTGCACGTTCCGCCCCGAGCGGGTGCGCGCGCTGGTCAACATGAGCGTCGCCTTCATGCCGCGCAACCCGGCCGTGAAGCCGCTCGAGCTGTTCCGTCGGCTCTACGGCGACGGGTACTACCTCCTCCGGCTGCAGGAGCCCGGCGTCATGGAGGCAGAGTTCGCGCAGATGGACACCAAGTTCATCTTCAAGAAGCTCCTGACGACCCGCGACACCGGCGCCATCTCCATGTCCAAAGAGTGGTGGGGCCCGACGGACGAGGACATTCCTTTGCCCCCGTGGGTGTCAGAGGACTACGTCGGCCACCTCGCCGCCAAGTTCGACGAGACGGGGTTCGCCGGCGCCATGAACTTCTACCGCTGCCTCGACCTGTAAGAACTTTGCTGCTGCAAATTAGTCCTCGTGCTTTTCGTTCATTTCATACGGCTTAACTCGATTTCATTCTGGATGAATAAACTTGGTAATTTATGGATGTGATGGAGGAACTGGGAGCTGACTGCGCCGTGGACTGCGGCCAAGGTGACGGTGCCGACCAAGTTCATGGCGGGGGAATCGGCGATGTCGTACAACTACACGGGGGTGCAGGAGTACATACACAAGGGCGGGCTCAAGGGCGACGTGCCGGGGCTTGAGGAGGTGGCGGTAATCGCCGGCGGTGCGCACTACATCCACCTGGAGAAGGCGGAGGAGGTCAGCGAGCACATCTACGACTTCTTCAAAAAGTTCTGACCAAAGCGCAGGCCTTCGAGGTATTTGGAATTGTAATATCCTCTTTTGTCTCTTTGCAATCGTATAGTGCTGTGGGAATGCTTTTGCATTGCAACGGGATATAAATGTTCTATACGTTAGTTAGTGATTTATCTATTATATTAATGTGATTGTATAAATACTCCATTTCTTTCTTTTTACTCCACGTATAAAATTTAGTTAAAGTCAAACTACACAAAGTTTGACCAAAACTATATCAAAAAATATAAACATCTACAATACTAAAACTATATAGTATGAAAATACATTTCATGATGCATCTGATAATATTGATTTCATATTGCGAACGCTGATATTTTTTAATATAAAGTTAGTCAAACTTTGCGAAGTTTGATTTGACCAAACTTTATATGCAGACTAAAAAAACGGAAGGAGTACATGTTTATCAAATCCTGCTCGTGATTGTGTAAATAAATGTTTGTTAAATAAATTAAGATGGATTTGGTGCAAAAAGTAAGTATATTAAGTTGATTGACTAGGGGAAGGTGTGAAAAAGCATGTGGTGGGACTAAAGAACCGGTTGGATGAAAAATAATCATGAATGGACGTGGTGGAAGGAGGGGGAACCGGTTGACGAAGCGTTCTGCTGGTAGGAAGTCGAGTATGCCTCTCTTTTTCTGTAGGCTCGGTTCTTTTCAATTTACTAGGACCCATGTTCAAGAGTTCATCCGATTAATCAGTTAACTTGTCGATCAATCCCTACTCATAGGGTCATTGAGTAGCCGATAAACTGATAAATAGTTGGATTAAGTGATTACCATGCCGAAGCCTATTAATTCCCTACTCGCCAGCTAACTGAGCAGTTACCAGTTATTTCCTCAAAAAATGACTAGGACAATGCCCGTGCGTTGCAACGCGATATAAATATTTTGTAAATAAATGTTTGTGCTTTGACTGCCAATATTAATGCAATTGTGTAAATAAATATTTATCAAATCCTGTATGTGATTTTCCTTATAGTTTGATAAGAAGTTTGGTAAGTAAATTAAGGTGATCGGTTAGCATAAGGGAACTGTGCGGACAAAGATCATGGTGAGACAAAAAACCGGCTGACAAAAAACGATGAATGGGGGAACCGGTTGACGAACCGTTCTGTCGGCAGGAAAAGAAATAGTACTCTGTTTTTTAAGTAGTAAGAGATTAGAAGATGAAATATAATTCACTGACTATAGAGGGGGCATTAAATTGGAAAGATAAAAGAAGACCTTAATATGTCCTAGTTTCAAGTTTTGGCCAATTGAAGAACACATAAGTGTTGCATTTTTGTGTTCCGCACTAACTCCATATGATCACCAAAGACGCGACGCTGCAACAACAAATTTAAGGCTTCTACCTTGCGCTCCTCACTTTCAAGGAGCGAGGAGGCTTTGACATCTCATTATCGGCTCGGGATACCCGAGAAAGGGTTAATGCAAACCAGAAAACAACCATGATGAGAACTTTTACCTCAATGAATTAGAGGCCATCATGCGGGATATTGGATCCAATATGGCACCCGGTTGCGACGGTTTCTCGATATCGTTATATAAGAAGTTCTGGCACCTTATGGCTGGCCAGATATTTGGGTTTCTTGATGACTTTGCCAAGGGTAGGATTGAAATCGAACACCTGAATTCCATAGTTCGTATTCTGCTACCTAAAGTACCTGACGAAGAGTTTATTTGTCAATTTGGTCTGATTGCCTTGATCAACATAGCATTTATGCTAGCCATCAAGGGTTATTCCACCCAGCCATTCCCGATGGGAATAGATTGATTCAGCCGAATCAATTGGCGTTTGTTCATGGTGGGAGTATCCTGAAGGGGGTCTGTATTCTCCATGAAATGCTCCACTCGACACATGCCTTCAAGAAATCTTCATCATGAGGATTGACTTCGCGAAGGCATATGATGGAGTTAGCTCAGACTTTCTAGAGGATGTTATGACTGTTTTATGGTGATTGGGTTAGTACTCGGAGTACTTAGCAGTACTTACATGTCTGATCATGTCTGATTTTTATTAGCCGTCAGATCTTGCGGGGAATTTTAATTGATTAAATTTAATATGTTAACTACGATAAGGGCATAATGGTCCAGGGGGAAATATCTTTTCTTGAACCGATCACCTGAGGACTAGATCCATGTCTACTCGATCCAGTTCAGAATCCTCCTCCGATCTATTCGTCGCCGCTCGCCGCTCCTGACCTTCTCCGTCCTCGACCTGCCCGGCGAGAGGAATAAATTCATCGTCCTCGTCCTCCACCCAACCAACCCCAGCCCCCCACGCCGTCACCGAAGAAGAAGAAGGCCAGATCTGCGCTGGCTAAATCGGCGGCGACCGCGGCGGGCGATCCCATCTCTTCGCGCTACCATCCTTAAGGTATGAATTCGGCTTGGCGTTCTGCTCATTCTCTTGGCCGTTGCGCCCCTCCACCGTGCATGCAGTACAACCTCAACCCCCACAAGATCCGGGTACGGACTAGAATAACGAATGGAAAGCTTCATCGTGGCATAGTTTCTCTTGAGCTAATCACATCATGTTTGTTTAAGTAAGATGTTGAGGGCATTGCTTACTTCCTTTGGTACCGCAGAAAAAAGTGACTTATTTGACGTTTGAGATGAGATATACTAAAGGAAGATGAGATACTGGTTCCATAGTTCACTTAATTTAGTTTATTAAAGTCATCATCACTTTAGGTTTGCATAGTGCATGAAATATAGTTTAAAGGAAGATGAGATACTACTTGTTGGACGTTGATGATTGGTTTCCCTCACATGTCAAACGAGCAAAGTCTTTTCCATGCACTTGTCTTTGCCTATGAGCTATTTTACACCTGCAACATTGATAAACAGAAAGATGTTGATGATTGGTTTCCCTCACATGTCATATGCAGGAAGACATGGCGTATGCAAGTGATGAGAGTATGTTCGAGTATGTAAATGTTGTTAGCAAGATGTTTGATAGTGAGGCTGAAGGCTATGAATTCTACAACAAATATGCTCTTGAAAAATGTTTTAGTGTGAGGAAAAGCTACGTTGAGTGGGATGGATCCAACAAATACATAATTTTAAGGAAAATTGTGTGTAGTCGTCAAGGGTTTCGTGAAGAGAAGCACATGAAAAGAAAGATGGAAGATAGAAAGAGGAGGCCACGAAGTTTAACTCGTGTTGGGTGTAATGCTAAATTGGTAATTACGAGACAGGAGGAAACCGGTCGGTGGTTTGTCAAGGATTTCATCGATGAGCACAGCCATCCTCTAGCCCCACGGGATCTTTCTTGTCTGCTGCGTTCGCACAGACGAATTAGCGATGAGCAGAAAGCGGACATGGAAAAATATGGGATCCGCAAATATCGTATTATGGATATTTTGTGCTTTTAATACGGTGGATTTGATAAGGTTGGATGCATAAAGAGGGACGTTTATAATTTCTGCCATGCTAATAAGTAGGAGACAATCAGTGCCGGTGATGCTAATACGGTGATCATGCACATGATGGCGAGGCGAGAGCGAGATGTGGATTTTTTCTTCAAGTACTTGGTAGACGAGCATGGCCATCTGAAAGGACTGTTCTGGGCTGATAGTCAGTCGTGACTTGACTACGAGGCTTTCAGAGACGTCATTGTTTTCGATAGCACATACAGAACCAACAAATACAATCTGCCATTCGTGCCGTTTGTCGGGTTGAATCACCACCGCATCACTGTTATTTTTGGCTATGGTATAATTTCTCATGAAACAAGCCAGGCATACGAGTGGATGTTGCGGACCTTTTCTGATTGCATGACACAGAAGCATCCGATACCTATGATCACAGATGGGGACCTTGCAATGCAGAGAGCAATAAGGGTGGTCTGGCCAGACTCAAACCATAGACTATGTATATGGCACATTCAGCAGAACATTGTGCGCCATCTGCATGATGACGACGTAAAGGAGGAATTCAGATCTTTCATTTATGATACTTCTTCCATTGAAGAGCATGAGATAAAATGGATACAATTCTTACAACGGAATAAAGTAACCAGTGAGGAGTCTTGGCTGCATCAGATGTATCAGATGAAAAAGTTGTGGTGTGCTCCATATCTTGAGGGGCGTTGTTTCCTAGGATTGAGCAGCAATCAGAGGAGTGAGAGCTTGAACTCTGTGCTACATACGCATCTTGAGGGTAAGATGTCATTGTTTGAAATGCTAGAGCACTATGAGCGTTGCCTTGCGTCGCGACGGATTAACGAAGCTCTCCATGACGTCGAAGCCTTGCAGTCCGTTCCATTTACAGAGGAAAATGCTTCGCCACTTGAGAAACACGCCGCAACAGTTTTCACACCTAGTGTCTTTAAGATGGTCTTATGGAGCACAAATGCTGTCAGCAAATGTCAAATCAGAGAGATACTAGATGAATCAGAAGATTCCACTTATGTTGTGTCCAAGCAGGAAAGAATGGATAAAAAGTTTGGAGTGCGCATTGAAGAGCAAGGAGGTCTTTTGCACAGGGTGAGTTGTTCTTGCCGTAAGCTGGAATGCGCAGGCACACCATGTTCCCACATTTTTTACATATTGGGGATTTTAAAACAAACAATTCTGCCAGGTTGTTGCGTTCCCACTAGGTGGACTATGAATGCAAAATGCGCATACACACCTACCAGAAAAACCCAGATGTATGACTATTCGGTAAGCCTGCAGAGGTACTGTGAGTTGCGGAATTGTAGTCACGCCGCAAGTTTCAAGGCATGCCACTCTGATGAGGACTATCACCGTCTAAAGATGCTTTTGCAAGCACAACATCATGGCAAGCAATCAAGTTTTGAACAAGCTGACAGCAAGGAGTCAAGTAATGCTCAGCATAACAGCATTAGGTTTGGCCCGTTGATGCCGCACTCGAAGAAAGTTGATAAGGTTCTGGATCTTGTGCATGTGCCAGGACGAGGTGCATCGAAGAAAAGGCTGCAGGCAAAGACAAAGAAGTCAAGATCATAGAATATCT